CTGCGTTGCTCACCATCCAGATGTGCTGCCCTGCATCGAGTCAGCACGTGAACGTCATTTTAGCACAAATAGGGCCCTATACAGGAGCTGTAAGTAACTGCAGATGTTGTTTATTGCTTCAGCATATAGAAGCTGTTGTTATTTGGTTGAGTGGCAGATGAGGGATGAACAAACTACTATGCAGCAACAACAACGAGACCCCTCTCTCTACAAATAAATTGGCAGCATGGCCGTGATCCAACCTGCAGGGGAGGAAGACATCCGCCTGAAGGTAGTTTTCCCGTCTCAAAAGCAGGTAAATAAACTCAAACTATGTGTCGTGGCACAGATTCAGGCTCGGAGAAGAACCGTCAGCTCGTCTGTGTTGGGATACTTGTCTGGACGTTGACTCTCCTGCTTGTAGTGACTGTGATGTTAATTCAAACTTGCAGGCAGCTGCTAAATGCCCACAGCTGGTAATTGAACAGCCACTGTCACTCCATATGTTCTTCCTCCCTCTGTCATATAGGCTTTTCATCTCTCTTCCCACCTTTCTCTTTCTGCCATCCTGCCCTCAGGCTAGTGTCACATCACATCACTCTCCCTTTACTTCGTCTCTTGGTCGCGTCGCTGGGACTTTTGCTCACCAGACAGGTGTGTGTGTGACAAAATAACAGTATCACAATACTACTGATTTAGCAATGTTTGTATTTGATACACCTCAGATTGAAGTGAAGAGAAGAGAAGAGAAGAGAAGAGAAGAGAAGAGAAGAGAAGAGAAGAGAAGAGAAGAGAAGAGAAGAGAAGAGAAGAGAAGAGAAGAGAAGAGAAGAGAAGAGAAAAGCTAGCGTGAAGTGAAATGATTGATTGAGGCAGAGTACAAAGACAAGGTCTAAATCATTAGTGAAAGCATTAATGTCGGCTGGTGCTTCTCTGTCATATAAATCACTTTTTAACTCACTGCTTTACTTCGTGCTTATTGTTTAAGCCATGCAGCCGTGAAAACGGTGATGTGACTGTCTGCCTTTTACACGCTATAAGGGTTTATTCTAGAGCCAGAATCCACTCCCAGCATCTGCTTCTGCTCCTTATGCAGGTTTATGGAAGCCTCATGCTGCATGTCATTTCAATATTAGCAGATAGCATCTTAACAGGGTGTGGTCCCGCTGAATAAGAGGAGGCTGACTTAGAAAAGGAATTGAAGTGATGTATAGGCACGAATCATGAATAAGAGAGAGCAGATGCATTTAAAGCATTTAAAGGAAGTGTATGTTTTCTGATATGCGATGCTCAATAATGATTTGGTTTAGGAGGGACAAAAAGAGGAGAAATTAGCTGGAAACAGAGAGAGGAGACTGGAGAAGATGAACCCAAAAGGAGAGAAGAGGATAGGTAAATGGAGGTGGATAAAAGATGATAGATGGGGTCTACTGGACGGCAGTGTGAGGGTGGGAGGGGCAAGGAAGGGTGAGATGAATAGTGCGAAGGGAACGGGAAAAGGGCCAGACGGGAAGAGGAGAGGAGGGAGCTGTCAGGATGATTTGAGTTTGCCCCCAATGGACCCTGACGCTGCACTTTTCAGTATGTGTGTGTGTGTCTGTGTGTGTGTTCATTCCAAAATAGAGATCTTGCTTTCAGCGACAGAGCAGTGCAGTGAGCTTACAGGAAGCTCTGAAGCAGTGAACCAGCTGTTGTCTCATACGGTAAACTTCAGGAAGCATCTCTTTGAAACTCTACCTGACAATCCCAGAAGTTTCACATCAATCCAGAGAAGCGCTTTACCTGGATTTCACAAATACTGTGAACACTCACACAGAATATATTTAGGTTACAATCAGGTTGAAGAACTAGAGCCAAAAACCTGGGAGAGAGCTGGACTTCTGTACCATCGTTTGCCTGGTGCTCAACACTTTTTCATAAATCTGTTAGGCTTTAAAAAACTTCCCTCTAAATTTTCTAACATTCAGCTGAAGGAAAAACCTAGTGTGGTGATTTCTGATGGTCACGCTTATCTTCATGCCATATTCTGAGGCTGGGTTTGAACTCCCTCCTAGATATTTTCCATTCATTACAAAACTATTTTTGTGTCCGACCAAGCACAACGCTCAGAATGTCTTCCAGGAGAGACACATATCCAAGCAGCATTGTTTCCCATCGCCCTCTGGGACAGCTGGCATTTCAGTTTTGAGCAATTATAAACCTATTTGATTTCCTGAGTGCTTCATACTGCACTGTTGGGTGTGCTGAATAACAGCGACACCAAGCATGCGTGCCTCTAAGGTGAAATAAAGCAGAACATTTTCATCTCAGGGCAGCGAGTGCTGTTGTTCTATGAGAGGTCGATGGCAACGCAGATGAAGACCGCAGTCGTTTGAAATGCCTCTGAGGCCATCCGTCATCAGTGCTGGTGACGGAGCAAATCGTGGGTTTGTCACCTGGGAGACTACGGTTCGGTAAAAAGCTGTGATTTTGGTTAAACATACCACAAACGTTTAAAAGTGTCTTATATGTTCCCTCGAGTATCCTTTTATCTTTTTCAAATATTCCTAATTGCTTTTTTATGCGAAGGTAAGAGAGAAACAGTATCTCCTGTATGCTTAGACTTGACAATAAAGTCTCGAATTGTTATAAATGAGTAAATGTAACAAACTGGAAATGACTTTCTTAAATAATTGAATATGAAATATCTTTCATCATCTATACAAGCTACATAAAGAGACACAAATAGCTACAGTTTCACTCAGATTATCGAGTTCAGACTGACTTAAAAATACACACAGGTATAACAAATACAGCAGACTTACATGGACATACATGTTACCACGGTGATGGTCACGTGATGCAAAAAGGGAAGCCATGTTGATTCACGGAGTTCCCGATGTTCCTGTCGTTCCTTTTCATCTCCCCGAGTCCCCTCAGCTGTTTCCCTGCACTTAAATTACTGCTGTACATGAATCTTAATGAAAACATCTCTCTTTGTTCTGGCTTCCACTCCATCGATTTTCTCTGCAGAGCCACCCGAGTGCTTGACAAAATGTGATGCATTATAGATTACAGATTCCCATCTTAAATTGCAATCAGGCCCATAATAGATGAGATTGCTTCATCGTAGTGACATAATAAAAGAAGTCCTGCCTGGCCGGGCATGCAGATTCATAACCGTGCTGTTGTCGCAGCTCAGTGTTGGTGGAGAGACAGATGCTACTGTACGGCGAGGGGGTTGTTTTAATGATAAAAAGTATGGGAGGAAGCATATGCTTGTTCATAATGTACTCTTTGTCTGTTAACACAGATGACTCCTTTGTCCCAATAATGTGAATGTGTGTGTTTTCGTCCCCACAAACTAAAGATTAATGGCAGTTTTCACTTGCTCAGAGCTGAAAATCTGCACGTCCAAGAAAAGAAACACATTTATAACGTCCTTATGACCAAACAGTGTTAAATGACAGAGACATCAGGGGGCTGTGCTGGTGTTTGTGTGTACACTCCCCCCACAAACACAGACGCACACCGGCAGCCTCTTCTCCTCGGCCTCTTTGCCCTCTGAACCTAACAGCTAAATTTCAGCCTACCGTTACACAAACACACACACACACACACACATGCACGTACTCAGTGCCTGCAGACTTAAATAGCCCTGAGTTGTAGGGCACTTGTAAGCTTGAGATGTTACCACCAACAGTGTCTCCCTCTTAATGGCATAATCTGCACGGTGACTTTGCAAAAAAGGTGCTTGTCATCACTGGGAACAACCTGGAGTTATTTAAAGGCAGTGTACAAACACACATGTACACAATCAGAATGCATGCACCACAATAAATAAATCAGCTGCTGGTGTTTCTTGCAGATTTCCTCCTCCTGGGAAACGGCCGGGGTTTAAATGGATGCGAGAAACTCAGAGAGGAAGGGGAAAGGAAGTGCAGATGTAGCAAAGAAGGGAGGATAGATATGTCAGAGAGACAAAACTGAGAGAGAAAGAGCATCTAATGTCTCAAAGTGAATGCAGAGTAAAAGTGGAAAAAAAATGTTGGGGGCAGGGAGACAAGAGAGAGAAGTATGCTTTTCATTTCCACAGCACAGCGCGAAAGAAGCAAAACTGAGCAAAGCACAGCGGGCTTTTCAACCTTTCAGCCTCTCAACAAACAGGCAGCCGGTTGAAATATTGATGCTTCAATTCCAACAAAGGAATGTCTGAATGATTTTGGTACATCTGAGTGGGGAAATTCACCTATCTATAATTGATATGGCTGAAATGTTAATAACTGGATGGGAATGCACGGGAACGGAGGCGTAGGCTGAAAAGCGTGCACGTGCGTGCGCGCTCACAGTGGCGGTAACGCCCCAAAGGGTCTCCTCTGCTGTTTGCAGGATGCATTCACTCATGATGTGACAGTAAGCAATTTCTTTTAAGTCAAAGCGTTGGACAGTTAATACATTCATAACTTGAAGTGAGAACTTTCTATATGACTTTGGCAAATCATTCCCTCTGTACTCAGCTGTTTGCAGCCAAAGTGGAGGTAACAGTAGACTCAAACCCTGGTGGAAGCCTGTTACTCAGCCTGCCTTTATCACTGCTTGCTGTATTTTTATTTCAGACTGTCAAAATGTCCTCGTTCTGTGAGCCTCGGTGTGCAACCGAAGCCAAACAGCCAAAAAACAATGATGGACACCAAATCCTCTAATCTGTGTTAATTCTTCCAAAGTGTGAAAACCATGCTGGAACAGTAAATGTGTTGTAATTAGACCCTGATAATTAGAGACAGGGGACCCAGGGAGGTCCCAGAGTGATTATTATGGGATAGCTAAAGCCAGAGAAACAGGAGGAGAGTGGGCTGAAGTTCACCGAAAACACTCTGCAACTCTCACACAGAGAAAGGCTGGCTCACACAAAAAGCCGTCTGCAAAACTTCTCGTCTTTCCTTAGCTGCGACTTAGCGAGCAGCTTTAAATCTCTTAATCTGCTAGTTTTTACTCCTTTTTTTGGCAAGATATATCAAGTCCTTTGTGCGTTTTTCGCTTACCTGCAGTCCAGTTTCTCTATTTCAAAGTGCGGGTTAAAGTTCAGGACGATGCGCTGCGAAGACTCAGGGGCCGTGATGACCCAGCGGCAGTTCTGGTGAGGTGGATACTCCAGAGGGTAGCCGGGGGTGGTGATGTAGCCCGCATCGCTTGCATCTAAATTGCCGCCGCATGGTTCAGATGCTGGATGGAAACAGAGAAAGATAAGGAGAAATCATGTTTTACACAAGTCTGGAAACTCAAGTGGATAATATGATTACTTATAGGCTTTGGTCACCAAAATCATCCTGCGTGTTTGAAACGTTAACACAGGTCAATACACGAGTTCACAGTTAGATTAAGTTCACCGATTAACTTCTCGGATGAGAGGTGAAACGTCTTCAAGTAACTTAAAGAAGTCCAGACGCTTTTCTTTGCAAGCTCCTTTAACTACGATGACCTGGATGACTGAGAACCTTCACAGACACATTTCACCGATTAACGTTTTCAGGGAAATTCAGGAGCAAGAGGGCAGAGGCTACGTGACCCAGAAGACTAAAGGTGAAAAAATAAAATACAACTGAAAGACAAATAATAAAACAATGACGAGAGATAAACTTCCATATTAATTTTTATCTGTAATAACCTTCACAGCAGCAGGCGGGGCTACAGTTCTGTCTGCTTATCGATACTGACCAGGAGTACGAGTGAACTTCCAGTTATTTCAGAGCATATTTGTTCATTGTGCATGAATTCTCACAATAAATGAAGCAAAACAGATAAAATGCAGATAAGAGCAGTGTGTGCAGAGACAGGATATGAGTGTGTCTCTGTGTGTGCGGTGTTAAAGGTCAACACAGCATCGTGAAGCACAAAGACTTCATTCTGGCCTGGAAGGACTGCCATGCACGCACACAGACACACAAACACACACGCAGACACACACTTCCAGATGCAGCAGTTACTGTCACAGAGCGGACCCACTTGTCAGCACTCATACGTCTGTGTCACATCATAAACAATACTCCTCGTTCACTGCCGCAGATGTACCCTGACATAGATGGGTAACTCATACATATCTGTGACACCCAGCGGCACAACACACACAACTCCACTGTATGAAATCTTTGGCACTTATTGTGCACAATGCTGGCTCTCCTGTTTGATGGACTGCACAGGCTAAATATGCCGAGCTTCTTCATTGTTTAAGATCTGCAAAACACAAGTTAAACCATCGTGGTGAGTATGTGCTGAATGCGAGCTTTGTTGAGTCCGATATAATGGTGCAGTCTGAGCCAGCGACAGACAGAGAACAGTCAACCGCCACATTTTTTAGTCTGCTCCAAAATAACATCCACCCAAGTGATCCAGGTTAGGGTTAAAGTATATAACACAAGTAACTTGTTCTTCTGCACTGGCAGAAAATTAATAGTAAGTGCTTTTTGTTTTAAAAAAAAGAGACTATTATTTCAAATATCCAGGGAAGAATTTCAGCAACCAAAAATGTGATCAATCAGAGCATCTCCAACAAAGCAGATGGATTTTCTGCAAATATTTTGGAGGAAGAAAAGATGGCTACAATAGGCCAGGTTATTCTAGTGAAAACAGCATCTGTGAGCGCCGGCTGCTTGATGGGAAATATTTGGCCGGTGAGCAGCCCCTAAAAATAATTTCCTGTTTTCAAAAGAAGGAAAAACAAACTCACAATCAAGCTCTTGATAGTCAGCAGCTTATTGCTCTCTCAGCCGTGACTAAATATGCATCAAGAAACTCGCCTCAAAAGAAAAAAAGCAGAGGAAGAGCAGCAGGAGGAGGTTAGGTGAGCTGTCTTTGCTACGATCTCACCCGCTGGGCCGTGACGTTTTATTTATCGCCACTGTGCTGAGAGGGATGACATAGCCAAGTCAAACTGCTCGGCAGAATGCAGCATGTTTTAAAGCCATAGCTATTAATAGTGTGGCTACTGTAAACTTACTCTGAGTGGAGTCAACATATGCAAACATTAATACACGCACGCATAAACACTTTATCGGGCACCATCTTCGAAACTAATTAAAAGAAAAGGTCAAACAAAAACGCACGTCGAAAATATCACTTTGTTGCCACGCTCACATGGCTGACTGGGTATCAGACAGTCAGTAAGAGAGGATTAAAGAGCCGGTAAGACTTCAGCGCTCAGCGCACACCGTGAGTGACACTTTGGCATCTGTATCTGGTGTCTACCTCACTCTGTCTGCAAACAATTAGTGATAACCGCTCCGTATCTCAACATTTCTGCCTGCCTCTCTTTGGTCTCTGGCGCTGAGAACCAACGAGTCCTGTTTATGTCCTCCTGACATACAGTGGTACAGGAGTAGGGTTACGTGGGCGATGTAACCCAGCCAGATGGATTTCATCTCAGCACCACCTGGATTAGTGTTTAACCACTCTGGAATCTCACAACGACATCAGCCAAACACCACTTTTAGCACACGCTGCTTTGCTAAACGTAGCTAATGAAAACTCTTGGAGAGGTGATGCAAGGGGTGTAAAATCAATGACTGCGGATTCAAATCTGACTGATAAATGAACTCCTGCTTGGATGTTATCTGAAGGATAAGGAAATCGACTCTGGCACATCCAGAGGTTGTTTTTTTAAATTTTCGTTTTTAATAGCTGACCAAATTGTTCTTTCCACAGACGTTGACTCAGCTACACATGAATCATTTGTGGTTAAAGTTGGCTGGATGCTTTAAACAAATACCTGTGCAACTATACACTTCAGCATTTACCTCAGGAGCTGCGCTCCGTCATTGTAATAGTATCCTTTAGGACCACTTTGATTAAAATAAGGTTATTCCTATTTGAAATCCATAGTTTTCTGTTTTCCACATGTGGGATCTTAAGGTGGGCGGGGGGGCTAAACTCTTGGTACAGAGCAGGCATCTAAAAGACATAAGACACTGACAAAAATGGCATGAAAAGGAGAAACTGGAGTAGAGGTGGGTTGCAAAGTGGCTTGCAGAGGTAGCAGCAGTTGTAGCATAACATTCTCTATATGAGGTTTTCCAATAGGATGTGCATAAAGGTATCAGCTGATTTTGAGCTGTCAGCTGATACAGGCTAGCTCTGGTATCAGGTGTTAGCCGCTAAAGCTAAATGCTAAATATACATATATATATATTCTGGCTGAGTCTCGCTACCTCTCCTCTCCCTGTTTCACCTCTGGCATACGGCCGATAAAGACAGCACCTCCAAGTGTCTGATGAATAAGGCCGGTGTGATATTTAGGCAGGTGCCGTGTGTGCATGAAGTATAGTGTCTGCTTTACTTTAAGGGTCTATTAATCTCCGGACGTGCACACATACACAAAGTCATTCAACAAACACTGCATCCAAACAGAGCAGAGAGTGACACAAATTGAGGCGATGAGGGCACGGATGACATCAGATCCTTTAGAATGAAGTGCCATTCATGATGAATTTCATATTGCACACAAAACATGTAAATATACAGCCGGTGAAACGTCAGGCCCCTGCAGCGACAGGCCAGCGTGCAAAGGGAGGGACACGGCTCCGGGTTTATGTCTGTAAAACAGTGCATAAATACAGCTTCCAAAAGCAAACCTGCTATAATCCTAATTTGTATTCCCCACCCAGACGTGCACGCTGTGAAAAAAGTGCAATGTGTGTCAGAACAGAGAAGATGCTGAGTGGGGGAAATGCCTGACTTCACGTCAAGAATTACCAAATAGGTTAAAGACAGAATCATCCTTTAATCGTCACAGAGCAGCCTGCTGCGAGCAGCTGCAAAGGTGACGGTCCATCCTGGTGAAGTGGGGCTGGGCAAACAGGATGAGTGCAGCAGCTGCCGGCGACAGGAGACGGGAGACAGCAATGCTTGCTTTACTCGTTTTTCTTTTATTACACTAACACAGAGAGTAGAGTTTATAACAGCAGAGGCTCTCTTCATAGGTTTAAGCTTATTTTCCACTAGATTTGATTCAACTGTAATGGTTGGTTTCCATTACAGTTGAGGGGCACTTATTGAAAGTCCAGTGATGTCATTTCTATGCGACACAACACAAGATTGGAGGACATCGAGGCGATGGTGCGCCTGCTGCTCGGCCTGCAGCTTTCTGTCGGACTCCAGGTTTGGGTGTGGCCATGTGCGTCGTTGCCGTTTGATTCCTGTGAAGGAGTGCTACCACCTAATGGAAAACTAGGGAAAAGCTAGCTAGTGGAAAAGAGGCTACAGTGACTGTAGTACCGTGGAAACCTGAATCACCGTTAAGTCCTGTCTGACTTGGTTTTTTATCATTTGGTCTAATCCTACAGCGTAGCATCAAACTAGGCTCTGGCCGATACTACAGCGCCGAGCGGGTACTTTCACAAGGCGCCATATCAAAACATCGGCGTATTCTTTGGCGCAGTGTGTCCTTGCCTTATCCAAACACTTTCCTCCTCTTGACCCTCGTTTTCACACAGTAAAGCTTTTCTCTCAACCGCATCAGCATGTGTGATCTTCAGGGAGAGGCTGTATTTGCACCACACATTCACAACAAATGCAACCACTGAACATCCCCATTCTGAATACAGACCACACACACACACACCACACGATAAGCAGCAGTAAATGGTGCTAAGCAGTCGAGCACAGATATAAGACAGGTCATTGCATTATTTATGGCTCTCTGCCGTTTAGTATTGCATCCTTGATAACACCTATTCAGCAACTTTTCCCCACATTCCCACCTCAGCACACACATACACTCAGATGTACCCACAGAGGAATCTATGACAGTTCCCACAGACCCAAACTCGTGCACACTCTTCTCCATGAAGCTGGTTCGCACAGTTGAACCAGATCCTTGTTTGTTGGCCCCAAATGCAAATTTTCTGACCTTGTTTTTAAGCTCTTACTGATTCGTTTTCCCTCTGAGGGAGTCTGATTTGACTCTAAACAGACACTTTTCAGCTCGCAGCAATCGATTTGCTTGTCTGCAAGAACTTTGCCAATCTGTCAGAGTCCACATTTCTTCATGCCGGTCCGACCCCGTCATGAAAGCATTAGTGGTTTAGTGAGTGTTTGTTATGAAAGCAAGAAAATGTGTCAGCTAACCAGAAAGCTTGTTCAGAAACTATCAACCTGTTATCCACCAACAGCAGCGTGAGACTTGCGACCTCGTTACGGTGACCTTTAAAGAGTCGGGTCCTTAAATTTAT